TTATCATTTTTCAATTATACTAACCATTTAGATGATAGGCACAAAGCTAGCCCACACCAAATGATGATTTTAGACTTAAAAGACATGCGGGATACAAAATTATCCCCGGTCTGGGTTACAACCTTTATGATGGTAATAAAAAAGGGTTAAGCAATCATCATCTAAAAATATACCTCCGAGTCCCATATGTATTTTTCTTTTCAGGAAATGGACCAAATGGAAGGAATAATCAAGTGCTCGAGATTCCATACTTCAAAGCTCTAACACTTGGGGGACTATAGATAGCAGGCAAAGAAGACTGCAAGTCAAAGAAGGAAAAAGAAGACTAAAAGTCAGTTCAAGCCTGGATCAATCCAAAAATCAGAAGTCAAGAGCCAAGAAACAAGTCTGAATCAAAAACCTTTTGTATTAAGCTTTCATAAAGTGTAAACTCGCGGAAATAAATTATAAGATCCTACGAGTACTAAGGTTGAAGGCAGTGATTAGTCATGGGTTGCAAAATATACCCTAGAATGTTAGAAATTTGTTATAAGAAAAACAGTTATGAAAGAGTTGTAGATGTTAATTGAATACTTGTAAAAGTACTATGTAATTTGAAAGTTCAAGATATGAAACTTCCTCAAATTATTCATGAAACTTCTTCAAAATATGTATTTTCCTACTTCTCTCATATATTTATACCAATATGAAGTTGAGACGTCTTCTTCATTAGTGTCGTTTATAAAAGGGCCCTCTTTTATAAATAAAAAAATCGTGTCCATGCAAAAATCACAAAATAGTAAAGCATTTTTAAGTGCAAGTTAAAGAGTTTAAACAAAAAGCTCATAATAAACGAAAGATCATACATTAAACTTTGCTAAAACTAAGTATACACTTAGTTAAAACCAAAATGTTCAAACAAACCCCAAAACGAACCAGGGGTAAAAACTAACCATCCATTCCAAAAAACAAAAAACTTCTTATCAAGAGTTCCAAAAGCAAACTAATAACACTAAGGAGTAGAGTCCAATGCGACATTATCAACAGCAGGAGAGGCAGAATCCAATAAGGCATCATCAACAGCGGGAGAAGATTCAACTTGAGCAGAAGAGGCTTGAATACCAACTTCACCAGGAGTAAGTTCATCACCTTCAGAAACGCCGACCTCTGGTGAATGAAAGTCTTGACTTTGCTGAGTTTTATCGATTGCTTTATTAGCTTTAGTAATCTCAGCATTGAGATCAAAACCTTCCTGGCTAGCCTCCATCAAAGTCTCGAGGCGGGTATTCAAAAAAACTCAACTTATATCAAGTGTCGATTTATCTTCAAGGGCTTCATAATCTTTCTCCCACCGGTCAATTTCAGCCTTCAACTCTTCTTTCTCAATCAAAGAGGCGTCATAAGAGGTCTTCAAAGGGGCGAGGGAACTCTCCAAGAATTGGATCTTATCAGAAGAGACACGAAGATCTTGTTGAGCCTGAGTAAGTGTTTGAACTAGCTCCCCGGCATAAGTCTCCTTCTGATTAAAGAGTTCTTTCAAACCCCTTATCTCATCGGTAGCTTTAGAAAGTTGCTCTGCAAATGAAGACTCAAGGATGTCTTTGTCTCTGCCAACTTGATTCGAAGAGGCCTTTTCAATTGCCAATTCTGCCGCCATCATCCTTACTTGTTGTTCCAAAGCACACTTCTCTTTAGCTAAAAGCTCCTTCTCCAATTGAAGACCCTCATATTGTTCCTTCCAGTTATCTGCTTCAGTATGATAATCATTGACTAGCTGCTCAGTATGAACAATTCTTTTCATAAGCTCTGTGCCTATCCTGACAAAAGAAAAATAGTCATGGTGAAAAACTCTTAAACAAGCAAAAGGAAAAAAGAAGAAGATCAAAACAGGAAAAAATACCTTGTGTTTTGACTTTCCACCCAAATCTTTGAGAAAGGTACTTCCAAGACCTTCTCTCCATAGGAGCAACAGATAATAACTTTCCTACCCAAGCACGAAAGTCAGGGATCTCTTCAAAGACTTCCATAGTTGCTGAAAAAGTAGGCACGAGAATACATGAGAATCAATTTTTAATAAAGGAAAAAGGTGAGATACAAATACTTACGTGCAAAATTCCACTTCTCGGGAAAACGCAAGTTTTCTTCACCCACCAAACCACTAGTGGGAGCAGCAACGAAGCGAGCATATCAGCCTCGATCTCTATCATCTTCAGGGCTAACTAACACTCTCTTACTTTTGGCCACAAGGGAGAAAACTCCATCACGAAATAATTTGGGAGAGTAGAGATGGAGTAAGTGACGAAAAGTAAAAGGCATAGAAGCCAAGTGTGATAAATAATGGAGGCATGCATTAACTCTCCAAACAATAGGACCAATTTGTCCCAAACATACATTGAAGTCACGACAGAACTCAATGATTACAAGGATATGTATAAACGAAGGAATAACCAGTTTGATATGAAGTTATTCTTTGGTTAGAACCAGGGATTAAAATTGTGAAGTCGGGTTTCCATTTACATTCTCTTTGAACTAGAGCAAGAAGACCGGTGGTAATCAAGGTTAGGTAACGATCAGCACGGTCAAGAGAAGCAGCCATGGAAGAGACTTGACTCTTCATGGATTCACTGTCAGTCACATAGGATAGCTCCTGAGGGACAACTCATCAAAAGTAGGTCACGAAAGGCTTCAGATAAATCTTTATCTTTAGAAGAAGACCTTGGGGGTGCAGAAGAACTAGGTCTAGAAGAAGATGGTTTGGAAGCACTACCATGAGAGGAGGAACCACGGTTAAAAATTGAACCAAGGCTACGTAACCTACCGCCTCTTATACTCCTAACAGGGGTAATTGAAGGGAGACGTTCATCAACAATTACTACTTTACGAGGATCTGGCTTTGATGAAGCCATGATCAAATAGAGAAGCACAAGAAAAAGATGCAGAATGAAATAAGACAAGAAGACTAAGAGGGAAAGGCTTTAGAAAATCGAAAAAGAAAGAGGTTAAGTATTTATAGGAAGGCATGACTATTGAGGTCATTATGAAGCGTCATAATGGAACCGTCACTTCGTGACTGATGCGGTTGCAGGAAAATCCTAAAAGACGCTAAAAATTTGCAGAACCAATTTTCAAAAGCCACGTGGCATGGACATTTAATAAAAGTGATGAACGTCACATCGACTCAGAAAAGGGTATGATTATATTCGAAAACGACGGCAGAGGATTCCCGCCATAAAAACCTTCCACTTCCCCGAATATTCAATAGAGAATATTCAAGAAAGTTGGGGGACTATCTGTATTGGTGGTGAAAAAGAGCTACACGTGGAATATTAGACTGCTGACATGGCATAACACGTAAGAGCAATGATATAGCAACACGTGGCAGTCTTATTTGATAGAATAAGAGAAGGCACGGGAGGGAAACACCCACGAGGAAGAACCGAGCCTAACAGCTGGAAAAGACTGAATCAAGACAACAAAAAGGGAAGATTCGTCAACCATCAATTAATGAGGAGGGGAATAAGAATCGTTGCAGAATCCCATGGACAGTTACGATTACCAATTATAACGGATCATTAATATCATTAAAGCTCGTAAAGATTTTGCCATAAATGGAAAGAAACGTTATATGTGTAAGCCTCTATATAAGGGGAGAGAATTTCACTTGTAAAGACATCTGAGACAATATTGGAATATATTTTACTTTACTTTTTTGCTTTTCTCGAAATTCCCTATATTGACTTTGCAATAAATCATTTCCTTATTTATTCTTGTTCATATCATTGTGAAAGTGAGGCAAAACTTGCTTATCAGAAGCCCGTTTTCTTCTAAAAATAGTCTTTGACCGAAAGATATATTTTTTTGGTTAAACAATGCTCAGCTCAACAAATTATTTTTCAAATGAATATTTCCAAAATAAATAACTTTCATAATCCCGATAACCAATACGGTAATTGGTAAACGAGCAAATGTAATGGAGAAATCCAAGTATTCGTTTGAGCAAGTTTCTCCTTTATCTACTTCCTTACCAAAAGACAAACCCAAGTGTAGTTGGAATCAAGTCAAGAGTGAATTGGACTCATACTGGTTGTCCTTACCGTTGGATTTGAATCAAACTACTATAAAATCCTCATATTTACGAAAATACCATTGTAAGTGGAAGCTGGAATATTTTCTGAAAAGTTGGTATCAACTTATCATAGCATGTGTGTTCTTCTTCAATGATTTTCTGACACCACCATATGAAAAAGATTGTGAGGTACTTCCATATTTTTCTTGTTTTTATTTCATCTTACATAACAATATTGTTAAATAGTGAGAAAGAATCAGGGTATTTATAATCAAATGAATTAGAGTATTTACTTTGCTCCTTAGCAATGTTAGCTAAATTTCGAAGCAAATCATGAATTTTGGCACATTCACTAGAGCTTTGGTTTTGGTTTTGTGTAAGAAAAAAAATATTATTCTTCATTGAAAAAAAGTCACAGTTATATAATCATTTGTGCAATTTATCCTTTGATTGAGCTAAAGCAAGTTTGTAATAAAACATTGCATACTAGAATTTGGGAGTAAAAAAAGTAGACATTTGAGATATAAAATGCAAAAAAAGAAGCTTTTTTTTCTTTTTCTTTTGTGAAACAAAGATTAACACACCCAAATGTACCTAGCAAAAACACCAATTATTTGATCAGAAGATTTGGTATTCTCGCTCTGTATTTAAATTTCAAATTTATCATTTATCTACTTCATAATAATATAACATACTTTCACTTCTTTGTCTCCTTAGCCGGGGCAAACACTCTGGAATCTATCAACTCTGCCCATTATCTTTGAAAAGGTCTGCTATACTATCTTCATTTCCATTCCCTTTTTTTTATGTATATATATATACCTTTTGTTTTATTTTAATTCTTTTGCAATTAAAATCTAAAAGAGAAACAGCGTATCAAGAAAAAGTTACTCAAAAACTTCATATATTTAATGGGAAGTTTGAATAATTGTACCTACCAATAAAACCACAAGTTCAAACAATGAATGAATTAAATCACAGATACTTCTCTCCTGTTCTTTACTCCATATCTCCCATCCCAAGGTGGAAACATGTGAATAGTAAAACAAACCCAATATTATTACCTCAATCCCCCATTTAATAATTTAATACTATAATTTACTACTAACCCCCCTATAAGCGCCTACATTAGTCAAAACAAATTCAAATCCAACAAATGTACAGTATACTCATAGCCAGTAGCTACATCACTTAAAGCTGCAAATAACACCTCAAAAATCACCCCATCTTTGTTCAAACTCAAAACAAGCCTTCTTCTTCTTCCTCATCAACTGTGTGTCCAACTTCTTGTTGCAAAAGTAGCAACTTCTTGTTGCAAAACTAGCCACTTTGATCATTCTTGAAGCTGTTTTCTCCATGCAAAAAAAATAAAAATGGAATCTTTATCATTCTTGAGATTAAAGATTGAATCTTTACAGCTTTACATTATGAATCTTTCAAAGCTTTTAGCAATTGTTATTCTTTGTTTCTTCACATTTGCTATCTCTCCTATTTTTGCACTGAATTCAGATGGACTTTCATTATTAGCTTTAAAATCAGCTATTTCTTCTGACCCAACTGAATTTCTTGCATCTTGGTCTGAATCAGACTCATCACCATGCCATTGGAATGGAATCAAATGTGATGATCAAAACCAAAAAGTCATCTCCATTTCACTCTCAGCCAAGAATCTTACTGGCTATATCCCTTCTGAAATTGGTGCACTTTCAAATCTCTCAGTTCTCTCTCTTTCTTATAACAACTTCTCTAAACCAATCCCAATTCATCTCTTTAATGCTACTTCACTTCACTCACTTGATCTTTCACACAATGCCTTCACTGGTTTTTTGCCTCAGCAAATTACTTCACTTATTAACCTTAATCACCTTGATCTTTCTGCTAATTTTCTTAATGGTTCACTTCCTGAGGAGCTAACTGAGCTTACTCAGCTCACTGGGACTTTGAATCTTTCGTATAACAGATTTTCCGGCGAAGTTCCGGTGAGTTATGGTAAGTTTCCGGTGACGTTGAGTTTGGACTTGAGGCATAATAATTTGACTGGTAAAATACCTTCAGTTGGGTCATTGTTAAATCAAGGGCCTACTGCATTTTCAGGGAACCCTTTACTTTGTGGGTTTCCATTGGAGACACCATGTGCAGAGCCAGAAGCTCAAAAACCTAGTGTTTTGCCAAATCTTGAAAACCCTAAAGATTTAGGGTTTGTAGAAAAGGACAAATCTGGAAATGGGTCGGTGGCGGTTTCTTTAATCTCCGGCGTATCGGTGGTGATCGGAGTAGTGTTTGTTTCAGTGTGGGTGTTGAGGAAAAAATGGAAGTTGGATGAGGGCAAAATGGGAAAAGAAAAGTTTGATAAGGAGAAGTCACAGTCACAGGAGGTGGTTGGGGTTGGGAATGGGGGGAATGAGGAGGGGCAAAAGGGTAAATATGTAGTGTTTGATGAAGGGTTTGGGTTGGAGTTGGAGGATTTGTTAAGGGCATCAGCTTATGTGGTGGGGAAGAGTAGGAGTGGGATAGTTTATAAAGTGGTGGTGGGTGGCGGCAGGGGATCAGCGGTAGGCGGTGGCGCTGCGGTGGTTGCTGTTCGGAGATTGAGCGAGGGGGATGCCACGTGGCGGTTCAAGGACTTTGAGACGGAGGTTGAAGCCATTGGGAAAGTACAACATCCAAATGTGGTGAGGCTTAGGGCTTATTACTATGCAAGTGATGAGAAATTGCTGGTTACTGATTTCATCCGCAATGGCAGCTTGCACAATGCTTTACATGGTAATTTCAACTCATTTTTCTTATGTTGAATTGTTTAAGTTTATGATTGTGTTGCTTAATTGAGGTTAGAATTCATCTGCAATAGCATGATCATGATTAGATTATAATGTGGTAAACTTGTTAATGTGATTAGCTAGGTTTCATTGAAGGTTAAGTTTTGAAAATTCCCTACTCACCTTTTCAACACCACTTTTTTTCTTCTTCCAAATAACCGAGAATGCACGGTTTGAAACTCGGTGGATAATGACCCTGCACATTGCGCTGCACTCTTACTACTATATCAAAGCCCCTAGGGGCTTCATCTTTTGAGTAACTCCTTAGTTGAAGGAAGAATTATTAAGAGAAAATACAAATATTTGTTGTCCTAAATACGGGAAGTGATAGTTCGAAATCAATATTCCGGTGTAACTGATTATCAGCGTTTCTGGTTTGTACTTCGGAAGTACTCCCTCCGGTCCACATTAATGAATTTTTTGGCTGTTTTCGAACATATTAAGGAATTCACCTTTTATATTAACAATGAAATTGACCATATTAAGTATTAACCTTAATTTGTTCATTGGAAATACAATAAATACTCCTAGGCTATTTACTCCAAGGCAACTTTGGAAAAAAGAAGTTAATTCCTTCTTGATATCTGAAAAAATCAAATATTTTGGACCACAGTAATAAATTAGAATAGAACAGCTGCCTGCCATGTAATATATGCCGAACTGTGAACGATTGGAACTTATCCAAAATGCTGTAGGGGAAACTGGGAAAAATACAGCCATTTAACTCAAAATAGGTTAGTAAGCAGAGAGAGGGCAATGATGAACACAGTAATTTATGCAGAATATATCCTTTTATTGCAAATGATTTATTGTTAGGATAAGGACATTTCGGGTGAAATCTGAAGTGTGAGCTTGCACATTGAATTCACGGTTCCACTCTTGGAGAAAAATTATGTTAATTAATGCACTTGTGGGTAGCTAGATAGATGTCTGCAACTAACTGTTCTGCTCTGCACAATGTAATAAACTCTGGGTCCATGGTGTACATCAGGGGTTTATTGATAGATCAGACATGAGACAACGTTCAAGGTGGCATTGTAGTGACATTTACGTCGAAAAAGAATTCAATATCTACTTAGTTTTAGTACTTGTATACAACCTAATTCAAGTCTTTCAGTGTTGAAACAAGGAAACGCGAGATGTACTTAAAGATGCTATTGAAAAATTTCCAAATGCCAAAGCTAGTTAGTGTTAGTTTTATAATCGTATAATTTGGATGGAGAGAGCCCTCTGCTGGGCGTTATTCGTTCTAGTAGGGGCAAAGTCTGTGTACACACTATCCTCCACAGACCCCACTTGTGGGAATACAATGAGTTTGTTGTTGTTTAGTTCATTTTCTTTGTTCTCTTTTTATATATATTGACAGTCATTTTCAAGTTGTCACTGATATTATTTCAAAACTCTGTTACTTTTTCAGACTAGTCCCACTTCTTGTTGCATTTGTTTTTATCTTACTCGTAAGCATTTACGTTTTTCTGTTTTCTGGAAAACAGCTATGCAAGTGTTAGTCTACCTCAACCTTTGGTAGCACTTGTTCTAAAGAGTGCTTTCACTCTATGTTGTTCCGACTCTCCAAAAATGTCGCCGAATACGTGTCGGATCCTCCAAAAGTAGTGTATTTTTGGAGGATCCGAGACGGGTGCGGCAGCATTTCGCGCAACATAGCTTTCACTCCCCATTTTGAACTGCTGTTTGTTTCTTGTGTTCCGGTCTCCCACTACGGCTTCTTTCCCTTGTTTTCTGCTTCCAGAGGAACAGAATATATGTGGCCTAAGATATTGAATGTGGCTTTAAGCTTATAATATATAAACATTCTGAAATTACTCTTGTTCATACTGAAAATTTTGTCTCTAAACTTCCAGAAAGTAGCCAATTCTGGTACACCTGACCTATTTTATTGTTTTTTCTTACTCTGACTACTATCAGCTCTTTCATTGTTTCAAGCACATGTTTTTGGGCCATTCATTATTAGTGATCATTTTCTGAAAAGCTGCTTACACAGTTCAAATTATAACGGTCCGTACCATATCCAACTCATAATTGTTGTCATCAAGGTTTACTCTAAGGAATATAGAGTAATAGGTAAATGTGGTTTGAATCACTTGTTAAATTATTCTTGAGGTTCCACAAGTCGTATACAACAACATCAAACCCAGTATAATCCCACGAGTGGGGTCTGGGGAGGTTGGTGTATACGCAGACTTTACCCCTACCTTGACGGTACAGAGGTTGTTTCCAATAGACCCCAACTCACAAGTCGTATACGTATTTTGGGATTTCAAAATTGAATTTTAATGAATTGTGCTATATGGTTACCCTTTTATGATTATGTAAATACTTCCACTTTTCAACAAATTCTTGAACAAGTACATATTCCGGGAGTATTTGATTTTGCGAGAAAACTCTTAAGATTTTCCTTATTTGCAATTTTAGGTTCTTCACTGTCTCAATGCTCGGTATTTTCAAGCAAAATCTAGTTGTTTCTCGCATTTTCTGATGCAACATAATGTTTATCTTTTACCATTGCAGGAGGACCTGGTAATTCCCTGCCACCATTGTCCTGGGCAGCTAGACTGAAGATAGCTCAAGGCACAGCTCGGGGTCTAATGCACATTCACGAGTGTAGTCCTCGGAAGTATGTTCATGGGAACATAAAATCATCGAAAATCCTTCTTGACGATGATTTGCAAGCTTACATATCCGGTTTTGGGTTGACTCGTCTTATTTCAGGCTCGTCGAAGCTCGTTAATNNGGTTTTAGACAATTTGCACTTCAGACCTATTTGGCCTTAAGTGCATAAAAACATTAGTTGCCTAAAACACGTGTAATTGAGAGAGTCATCATATCAGTGCCTTGGGGAAATGCCTACCTTCAGGAGAAGATTATCGAACGAGTTTCAGACCTGTCCTCTTCGCTTCCCAAGATATTTAGGGAGAAATAGAATGATGTTTTGACAATAGTGCATTTAGAGATGGTATACAACTATTTGAATGCAATTTAGGTACATTGTGAATGTAACCATTCAGGTATGCAGGTGTTTTGATTTCTCTTTGGGTTCTAAGATTGGGATTATTCTGATTATTTGTTTGAGGAGAGTGATACTCAGAACTGGTTCATTAGAGCTTGATGCTGGAGATGACTCTAGGAATGAAGGATTATCAAAAATATGATTGTTGTGGGGGTGATGTGGATGTGATGCTAGTAGGTGACATTTCATTGTTACTAATGGGTGAGAGTTCATTGTCCATGTGACTTGCACCATCTGGATTGCTTTCTATATTGGTTTGAAAATTGTTATCAACATCATCCATAAAATCAACAAAGGGG